TAGACTAAAGCACAAAAGCAAAGGCACAAAGGGGGAAAAGGAGGAGAGGAAAAGCTTAGCTCAGTGGTCTCCAACCTTTTAAGCACAAGATCACTTTTTGAATTTAAGTGCAATCCAGGATCTACCTCAAACCCAAATACCTTTGCCCCGCCCCCTTTGCATCCCTTTTCTGAGGCCCCAGCCCTGCTCACTCTGTTCTCCCTCCCTCCCTCCCTTCCTCCCCCCATTCTCCCTCCCTTTCACCAGGCAGGGGCAAGGGGTTGGGGTGCAGGAGTCTGTAAAGGAGTTTGGGTCCAAGGGGCTCAGGGCTAGGGAAGAGGCTTGGGATGCAGGAGAAGGTTCATGACTGGGGTAGGGGTTTGGAGCTGGCTCCAGCTGGGCACTGCTTACCTCAGGTGGCTCCTGGGTGGTGGTGCAGTGGGGCTAAGGCAGGCTCCTTTCACCAGGCAGGGGCAAGGGGTTGGGGTGCAGGAGTCTGTAAAGGAGTTTGGGTCCAAGGGGCTCAGGGCTAGGGAAGAGGCTTGGGATGCAGGAGAAGGTTCATGACTGGGGTAGGGGTTTGGAGCTGGCTCCAGCTGGGCACTGCTTACCTCAGGTGGCTCCTGGGTGGTGGTGCAGTGGGGCTAAGGCAGGCTCATGCCTCAGGCCTGCTCTCCCCTACCCCACTCCCAAAAGCAGCCAGCAAACCCCTCCATCCCAAGCCCTGTTGTACCCCCCTCCATTCTGTGGAGACAGAGTACAGGGTGGGAGAGGAGGCAGCCTGACATCAGTGACCCCTCCTCTCCCTTCCCTACTCTGCACAGCAAGCAGGAGGCTCCTGGGTGGGAAAGCTCTAAGGCAGAGCGTGGGAGAGGAGCAACAGCAAGGAGAGGGTCAGTTGAAGTGCTGGCACTTGACAGTCTCTTGGCCAAACCAGTCAGGATCAGGTTTCAGAGGCTCCAAGATCTGCCAGTAGATCCAGAGCTATTGGTTGGTGACCACTGCCTTAGGGTATGTCTACACTACAGCACTAATTCGAACTAACTTAGTTTGAATTAGTTAATTCGAACTCACCTAATTCGAATTAGCGCATCTAGACTTAAAAACTAGTTCGAATTAGCGTTTTGCTAATTCCAACTAGCATGTCCACATTAAGTGGACCCTGAACTGAGGTTAAGGATGGCTGGAAGCAGTGCCGGCAGGGCATCAGATTAGGATTTAGAGCGTGGAGCTGCTGCCTCAGGCTAGCCGAGGGCTGTGCTTAAAGGGCCCCGACCCCCA